TACAGAACGACACACATCAAAATCTCAAGAAGCAAACTTGAACATCACAAGGGGCTGGGCGCGATGACAGAAGACTACATGCGGATGATCAGGCCACGTCATTTGCTTCTCAAGGTCACTCTAGACAACAGTGGCGTGCGGCAGGCAGGAGCAACAGAAGACCTCACTTTTTGACACGCGCTGGGGTGAGTCGGTTTCCACACCGCACCGCCCGCGGGGAGCTGTCTGAATTGCGTGCCCGCAGTCTGGGCGCAAAGAAAGGTTAATTATGATCCAGGAAAAGACGGGGCTGTGTTTATATAGGACACAAGTCTCCTGCTCCTGCATTGCGTTCAGAATCATTATCGCCCGTGCAACTGTGTCTACTGATTATAAGGCGAGGCCACACGGGTCTTCACGCAGGGCACATGCAAGTGTACGCTGCTCACCAGACAGATCAGTGTTCCCGAGGCTCTCGCTCTGCCGGAGCTTCCGCTGCAGGAGCAGCTGCAGCAGGTGCAGGCGCAGCTGCAGGAGCGGCGATCCCAGGCCTGGGAGCTCGCATTCTGGATCAGGGGGTTCCGGAACTGGCGCCCACCGACCTGGCAAAGATCCATAAGCAGGTTGTGGTAAGCCACGACCGTCTCCCTCCCGTCCGTCGGCGACGGCGGCTTGTAGAAGACGACCTTAGCTTCAGTCTTGCCCGGGTTGACAACCTTGCCGACTGGATAGAGTTCGAGCGCAGACGCAACGATCTTCTCGAGGATGTGTTTCGGAAAACACTGAGGCTGAGAGGTTCGCACTCTCTTAGCAGGTGACTTGCCTGCTGCGGATTTCGGATCGGCCTTGGCTTTTGCGTCGACCTTGTTGTACCGGCGAAGCTTGGAGGAAAAGTCGCGCAAGTGGATCTCTGGCTTACCAGCGACCACAAGCTTCTGCATGACTTCACGATCTTTCAGCCATGAGTCCTGACCCTGGGGCCACACCTATGAACAGTCTCTCACCCTCTGCGACTCTGCGCCATAGCCGCGATCCATGCTTGCTGCGGTCGCCACAGTCGTATAATGGCCTCGCGGTCTATGTGCGCAGGGGCGGCCGGGAGATCATCTATCTCCAAGTGTTGGAAGAGCCTGTCGATGATGTTGAGCTGGCCAGGCTCCCAAGCCATAGGCGGCCCCGCTGCCAAACGCACGCCTGCCGCTTCGGGCCCGTTCTCTGCCTGTGCCGGGGGCGGCTGCAGCGGCAAGGCCTCCATCTGTGACGGCAGCCTGCCATGCGCCGACGCAAGACCAGCAAGAAACTTGGGATCCTGCGGGCACTCTTGCTCGGGCAGTGCCAGGGCATCACTCTCGCTGACGGTGCAGGCAGCGCGCATATGCTCCAAGAGACGGTGGACCGTGGAGTTCTCTCGCCCTGCGGATGTGCTCCCGTTGAAGTGACAACCGAGGACTGGCCGACGAACACATCGAAGCCGAAGAGCAGCCCTGCTTGGACACCCACTTTCCATGGACCTGCACCCCATCTGGCAGCGCAGTCGTAGTCGCCCGCCTCAGACGCTAAAGATGCTTTGATGTTGCAGAGGGTGCATGTGGCCCGAAGTAACTTCTTGGCCGCAGCGCCCAGCTCCAAGACTTTGTGGGGGGCGGCGAAAGCCGTGAGAGTGCATGTTGCAGCAGCACACAAGTCATGATCTGGAGGCAGCGGGAGGTGTCGGTTCGCAATCCGAAACTCTGCCGACGCTCCTTGAGGCGAAATCTCAAAGCGGAGCCGGGATGGAACGCCGTCAGGCAACAGAAAGTCGTACCCCATGCAGGCTGTCCGGCAGATAGCGATCGCCGTCGACCATGGCCTCCTCCACAGCAACATCACCCAAGCGTTCCTGCAGGACCTTGCACTCCGGATCGGCAGCCAACCGCTTGGCCGCCTCTGGATCCCCGATGACTGACTGCAATCCACACATCACAGCTAACTCCTGGTCCAGCTCTGCCCAAACCCACTTCTCAAAGCCTGCTGGGGCCACGTAATCGTCAGGAATCGGAGCATGCGGCGGAATTGGCGACGCGGAGTAAGCCATGAAACGCTCCTTGGTTTGCCCGGTGTGTCCACCCACGAGGCCGCGCTCCATGGGAATGAAAATCTCGGGGTGCATGTTGCCAAGGAACGTCATTGACGTAGTAGGGCAGGAGCCTTCCCCATATGTACCCCTTGTGCGGGTCGCCTTGGACGCCTTCCCAAACTGCAAAAACCTATTAGCATACTGGTTCACAGCCAAAAGGCTTGCGGAGGTGCGGCGCGAGTCGTCGGCGATGGCGATGAGACCGAAGCTAGCAAATGTTGCATAGACTTCGTCGACATTAACGACCCGGCCAAAGTGCAGACTACCTTCCAAGGCAGGTTCGTCCACGTCTAGGTCTCTGAGGTTCTCCACCTGCTGGAAGTCACCGGCCATGCGTTGGAAGAAAACTTCGGGTGTGAAGCTGGAGATTGCTGCACTGGCAAGTCGGACTCGAGGTTGCTTGGGGGGCGGGCCGATGCCATTCTCACCTATGACGAGTCGCCGTCTGCGATCGGGGCCAGAAGCCGCAGCTGCAAGGTTCTCGGCTTTCTTGGCGATGGCCTTATCGAGCTCTTAGCAGCAGAAAGCGGAGCGCAAAGCAAACGCATGCAAGGAGCAAAAAGCAAAACCAGTAGAATGCAAAGGCAGAAATATTGCGACGAGCTATAGTGAGGAATTGCACTTTGCGTGTTTTGTTGTGCATCAGGCTAACGGTAATTGCCTTCGAAGGGGTGGCGTCGTTCGGCTTCGCGTGGCTTCGCGCGGCCTCGCGCGCATGTCTTCGCGCAAGGGGTGGCTTTGCGTGGCTTCGCGCGGCTTCGCGTGGCTTCGCGCGGCTTCGCGCGGCTTCGCGCGGCTCCGCGTGGCTTCGCGTGGCTTCGCGTGGCTTCGCGTGGCTTCGCATGGCTTCGCGCGTTGCTTCTGGCTTCGCGCGTGGCTTCTCTCCCGGCTTCGCGTGTGCTGGCTTCGCGCCTGGCTTTCGCGTGGCTTCGCGCGGCTTCGCGCTTATGTGGCGCGACCCCGCAGGGGACCATTGTGATGGTGGCCGAGACCCCTGCTGCTGAAACCTTCTCTGCCAGGCGGCCAAGGTAAGAGACAAACCGGCCAAACAAGTTCTCGAGACGCCACCCAAACTCAGCAAACCCACCCAAACCCTCTCAAACCCACCCAACCCTTCTAAACACGGTCAAACCCACCCGAACCCAGCCCAAACCCACCCACGCCTTCTAAACATGGTCAAACCCACCCAAACCCACCCTAAACCAACCCCCAAAACCCACAGGCCACATCAGGGCCACGAACGCCACGAGTGGGGCCTCGGAACCCCACGGCGGGAGGCTTTGGAAGGCTTCGTTTCTGTCTCGAAACACCACAAATGACGGTTCGAGAGGCTTTGCACTGTTAGTGAAAACGGCAAGCTGCGCGACTCCAAATGTAGGGCTGAGAAAGTCCAGCAATTCTGGCCTCGCTTGAGTGGGCCTCCCCTGCTTGGAAAGTCGGTGTTGGTTATATTCAAATGTCCCACATGGCCTGGATAGTATGCCAACTTATATGTCGACCAAGTGACCGGATATCTTGTCTATGTACCCGGTTAAGTGATGTGCATGTGATGCAAGCTGTATAGGGAGGTTAGCAACCAGAAAGGGTCCAAGTATATGTTGCGGCCAACCAATTGGCCATATATGGTTCGGTTATCTATGTAGTTGAGTCACTTATGTATAAGTGACCAAGCCAGCTTAGGCAACTTAACAGTATGTTAGCTAAACCAGATATAAATGAAAGCTAAGTCAGTTGCCGGATGGGTTTTTGCGATGGTGAGGCTAAGTCCACTTAGCTCACTTAGGGATCGGGCTGGTCATAGCAAATTCATGGTTTTGGGCGAGTACGAGTGGATCGCTTTTATTGTTATTTTCTATTTCAGGGCTTCGCAGAGTGCGAATTGCAAGAAAATTGAGCAAGCACGTTGGGGGCATGATTTGTAATTTTGAAGTTTTTGGGATGGTCTTTCAGCCAGAATTTTTTTGTTTTTCCTTTAGCTGACTTTCTGGAGAAACAGCATTTCACATGGAACGAAAGCAGAAACCAACAAGAATCTTCAAAGAAAACATGCACACCTTCCCCCCCCCAAAGCTCTTCCTTTCCTCCTGCCTCGGCTGCTGGGCCGCCTGCAGCTGCCTGTGTGGGTGCAGGCGGGCTCCTTTTTTCCAAGGGTTTTGGGGCGGGTCGTGGTTTGGTCGGAAGTTAGGCTGGGGTCGTGTTTGTTTCTTTTTGCTGCAGTTCACACACATAGCAACATGCATCACCATCAACATAAGTATGTTTGGTGCAGGTGGGAATTTAGAGTTATACACATATCTGAATAAACGCCACATATCTATATATCTGTTCATGTATACACATATGTGTATGTATGTGCGTATATATACATATATATATATACACACACGTGCAGATGTATATATGCACACAAACATACATGCATAGACATTGTACAGACCTATATACAGGCATACGAAGACACACAATTTAAAAGACTTGTGCATGTGTATGTGTTTATGTGTACACACATGCACACATATCTCTGTGTTTTGTGGGTTTGGCTGACACAGGCATGGTGTTGCAGGGCTGTGGGTTCAAGGAATTTCGGAGTGTATTATATAGTCCTTTTTGGTTCCCTTCTCGGTGGCTGGATTGTGAAAGGCTGTGCTCTTTGTGTGTATATATATACACAGGACCCTTGGTTTAAGTTTATACTTGTGTGATACGTTTTTGTCGGCTCTCTGCTTTTGTTGGCTCTTTTGGCTTCGGAACAACGGATTGGGACTCTTTTTCAACGTATCGTCCACTATATATGTCATGCCCACAGGCATGCATGACTTCGCAGGGTTAAACTCGCGAAGTTGAGTCAGCAGGGCAAGGCTCGCAGACTCTGATCCACGTCCCCACGACCTTTCCAATTGTGGCCATGTCGTTGTCGGAAGCACAGCGGCTGATGATCAGTGCTTACTTGCACTCGGCAGAGCAAGGCAAACTCGTCCAGGCGGTGGATGCTTTACACGATTACCTACTCCAGGAGGGCCTTGCCTGGAGACAGGTGCTGCGATGCGATTGCATTGGTGTGCACGAAGAGAACCGTGATGGTTTAGGGCTTTCAGCGGGACATGTTTCTGACCTTGTGTCGAACATCTCCAGCATCGGATTCTCGGCGGCCGAGTTTCGAGGAGTGGCTATCGAAATTCCACCAACCGCAGAAGGAGAGGCACTTCGAAGCTTCAACCGCAAGGTCACCGAGGAGAGCAATGGGAGACTGGCTCCTGCAAGCAACATCCGATTTGCATCCATCGTAGGATCGCACGCCAACCAGGCGGCGAGATGCTTCTGGTTTCAAGTTCCCCATACCGATGACAAGCTCACTGTGGACAACCGGCTTTCGCTCGAAAAGTTGAAGACCGTGGATGCCGGTTGGCATCGTGCCATCCAGGAGGGCATGCAATGGTTGATCATCTCGCATGCGGTGCCTGCTGCGTTCCCGCAGTACACCTCCCTCGCACAAGCTGCGGGGAACTCTGCGATGCAGATTGCATCGGCAGAGGGTGAGATGCAGCTGGCACGTAAGGTCAACACCGCTATAGCCAGCTTCCTCAAGCGGACCTCGAAAACGACCGTGGAATATGCGGATATCTCTGCGGAGATCCTCCGCAGCAAACCGCCCCATGCGGCATCCTTACCGCACATTTTCTCGTTCGTTCTCAAGTGCGGCGGGGGCTCCGGCGAGGGGAGCTACCTGTCGCGAACGGAACGGTTCGTGCGAGGACACGGGGTGTCCAATCGGTCGCTGGGTGCCGAGGTCTGGCAGGCCTTGAGCGCCGACTGCAAGGGTCCCAACCAACACGTGCTTTTCCGGCACATGCTGCTCAAATTGGGCTTGTGCGGAGCGACAGACAAGAGCCTGACGGTGACGGACGTCAAGAGGTCGCTCACGGCCAAAGACGTCATGGCGAGGATGGGCGAGGCAGAGACCGTGTTCTTGGAGCTTCAGAAGCTTCTGCAGGGACAGAATGCTGAGAGTGCTGAGGCGGCACTGGGGTTGTGCGAAATCCAGATGGCAGCTGTGGTTTTGCAGAAGAAGAAGCTGACCCAGTTTGACACGATTCACCAGGCGGCGGAGAAGTGCCTCGGCGATTTCGGCATTGCGAGCCCATGGACTGCAGCCAGTCAGGTCCCAGCGACATCGTCTTCAGCAAGCACAGCTGCTCGTGGTTCGTAGCTCGATGTTTGAAAGCAGCCCTTCCATCTGACCTTCTAGATATGTCAACCTCAAACCCCAAACGTTTTCATATCCACACACAAAAGCATGTTGGTAAACAACATCTCTAAACCGCATATATAGAAATACATATTTCTTTTATAAGTTTATTTATATATATAAAAAATACATATATCCCGAAAGTGAAACAACATTAGTGTGGTGTGGGGCATGTTTAGCGAGTTTCGGGTATCTGTGGTCGCTTCGGCGCTTTTGCGATTGAAAGCTTGCTGTGTATATTTCTTTCGTGTTGAGGAGTCTCCGCATGTTCGATCAGGAGGGTGGCCTCGTAACCAGCTCACGTGTTTCCGATCTTGGATTTGCTGTGGGAATGAAGGTTGTCCGTAAGGCGGATGAGCAACAAGGTACCATCATGGAGATGTCGGCCGACAAGGTCCGCTTGAAGCTCAGCGACGGGAAGCTTTACGAAGCTTCCTCCGAGTCCTTCGTGCAAGGCCGCTGGAAGGAGTATGTTGTCAAGCCGGAGCCAGTCCTGTGCAAAGATTGGCTGAATTTCTCCCCCCCCAAAAGTGAGGAGTTCATTATTGCCGGCGTGAAAGGTCTCGTTTTCCCATCGATGTGGCATCAGTACGAGAACTTGAAGAACGAGAAGTTCGATGTCTTCTTGAAGCCGTCAAAGGATGTCCAAGTCAAGTCCACTTACAATGTTCACTCATTGAAGCTAGCCATTGCCAGCCCTCGTGTCGATTGTCGTTTGGTCAGTGAGACTCTCCCTCCCGGAGCACTTCAGGTCGGCTTGTTTGCAACAGCCGGCAGCAAGCCAACTCACACGATTTCCGTCCTGCCGACTTTTCAGGCGCCGAAAGCCGGCTCGGGCTTTATCAACCCGCTGTGGCTCATCAAGTCTACCTCAGATCGCGAGGAAGGCAATCTAGAAATCGTCGGGGCCAACAAGCAGCAGAAGCTCACTTGCTTGTCAACCTCAGTCAATCTTCCAATGGTCCGGAATTACAAAAAACTCCAGGCGGCCGATAGCCTGGTCCTGTTCAGGCCTGACCAGCACAAGGCAGAGGAGATTGAAAATCTCCAGCCCGTGCAGAAGAAGGCGAGGAAGTAAGCATGCGGCGAGCATGCCTTCGAAGCCCAAATTTTGATGATGCACTTATTGGGCAACTAGCTCCCCAGCATGGCCTGAGATTGTATTGTGTATAGTTTAGAAGACTGCAGCAGCTCGCCATAAAGTCTAGGATAGACGAGTTCTGGCCACATTGCTGATCGTCACGAGGGGTCGCTTCCACGAACATAATGCGGGAGAAGCTGCTCCAGCTTCTGCGAAACACAGGTCAGGTCGCACACCATGCAAAAGAAGGATGTGCAGTGTGTCTGTGCTGTGCATGGCATGCATGATGAAGTCTCGCACTTATCCGGCTAGCTTCATGATGTGCATGCTGGTGCATTTACCGGCTGCTCTTTAGCTTTCGGAGTCAGCAGGGCATGCTCGCTGACTAGGGTTGCAGGGCCTCGCTCGCACCCGCTTGCTAAAATGTCGGGGGAGGAGAATGCCGCGGAGCTCGAAGAACAGGACGACCAACCTTTGAAGATCTACACGGCCACGTGCATAAGCGGAGGTGGCCTGAAAGGTGTATGGATGCCCACCATCGAGGAGGCATCCGGTGTGACTTTCATCAAGCTGAACAAATGGGACCGTCAGTTAACCCAATATGTTACAGGAAAGTCTCTCAATCTTTTTTCGGGATCGAAGAAGCCCAAGAACTCTATCAACGTCCATTGGTTTCAGACGATGACCGATCTTCGCCGTCAAGCCTGTAACGACTCTCTGAAAAAGCTCATCGTACAGGCTGCGGAAGCATCGGGCGGCAAGGTGCCCGAAAAAATCCGCCCAGCAACACAGGCCGACGAGTTCCTGGCAGGTCGCTTTGTCACTGTGCAGGCTCCTCCGTATAAGGACCCAGAGAACCCGGATGCCGAGGAGGTGGATGGTCCCCAGCTGAAGCTTCTGTGGAAGCTGAAGACACCGGACGTTTGGATGGAGCTGACTTTCGAGAATCTGGAATATGCCAAGAAGGCCATCCTTGGATCGCCGGCATGGGAGCAGCCCATCAGTGCCCGGGCCAAGCACAGCCCCAGAAAGCGGCGAAGGCGAGGCCCGAAACCACGTGGTCATGATGAACTCGGTGAAGAACCGTTGAAAGATGACGGTGGCGAGGCGGCTTTGCAGAATGCACCGAACGGCGAGGAAGAGGAGGACGAGGAGTGATGCTTGTGTTTCCTGTACTTGTGTTCCCAGGATGACATTACATGACTGCAGGGTTTTATCGGCATCTCGGGCTCATGTACAAGCTTTATGAACGTTTTATACACACAGGTGTTTTTCGCTATGTCAGGGTTGATAGAGATCGTGCATCTACATGTATATATATATATATATATATATATAAATATACATATATAAATATACCTATATATACATATATGTGTCTGTATGTATATACATGAACATATGTGTAGGTGTACACACATATATACATGTATATATGTTCATGGCTACATGAATATACATACATATATATATATATATATATACACATATAGACACACATGTATTTTTGTTTGTTATAGCGGGCTTGCACCTCATGCAGGGTGTTTATTGATGGTTCTATGCGATGTTTCGAACTCTGAGGTTTCCAATCCAATCTATATTGATTTTGGGTGAGATATATATTATGTATAGCACATCGTATATATATATATATAGGTTAAATAAAGCAAAACATGTAATACATATATATATATATATACATATATATGTACATATATATTTACACATGTATTTGTGTAGGTACATATGTACGTATACACATGTTCACACATGTCCCACATGCATGCAGAACCCACGCTCCTATATGTACCGAAAACTTCCAGCTGGGTCCCATCAGCAAGATTTTCCAGGCCTTCCGGTGATGGCAGTTTATATACTGTATATATACCCATCCATCTGTATATCCTTTTTTAAACCTCATCTAGAGTCTAGAGGTTTTCTTCTTCTGTTTCCACAAGGAAGACATCGGAGGCCCTATAGTGATGATGCACCATGCCAACGACAATGACTTTTTCAGAAAGTTAGCTGTGCGTGAGTTCAGGAACCGGCAGTGCTTGACTTCATGTGAGAATCAGTTCTGCTGCAGCATGCATGTCGCAGTTCTGCAACAGCTTTCCATGTCATGCGGCATGTTCTGCTCAGATCGTTTCTTTGATCGTCTGTTTTCTGGCCCGTGTGCGGGCTGAGCGGCCTTTCGAAGCATGTGCTCGACTCCCCCGTCGCCTGCAACACCTGTGGGTGTGGAGACAGCTGAGTGGCTGGAGCCCAAGACGGAGGCGGACGAGGACGGCGGCGATGGCTTCTACGAGGACACTTGGCCGATGGAGACCGAGTGGCCGGAAGGGGAGCAGGCTTGGGATGGTGAGCATGGCGACGGCACCAGCTTCACGAAGTCAGAGTGGAATCGCAAATGGGACTCTGCGTGGTACAGTGCCAGCCAGGTGAACTATGCCAGCCACGAGAACTACTACAAGTATGAGGACGACCAGGTGCACAATGGCGGGAACAAGTGGCATGGGAAGAAGGTCGCGAAGGATGCGGCATGGAGCAAGCCCTGGGTGGACCGCCGGTCGCAGAGCACATCCTCGGGCTCTTCGGGACGAAAGGGTACCTATGTGCGAGGCGGCTATGTCAGCCCAGAGGGCAAGTTCTTCACGTGCCTTGCTTATTCTTGGGATTTTTTCAGGCTTTCCTGGGCTGGGGTATATCAGGGTCTTGACGGTGCCAGCAGAACATGCATGCACTTGCAAGTCCACAGAGCTGTGTAATTGAATTCTTGTGCACGTCCCGAAACCAACTGTATATGCCTTTACATAAGCCGAAGAAGCTTCATTATCACAAAGCATTCACAAGCCAAGCCTATCGACCATCCCAGGCCAGGGCAGGGCAGAGACCGAGATCGCGGACGTGGAGGCCGCCGTGAGCAGGGGAAGAGAGCAAAGCAACAACAGTCCCACCTGGAGGACATGAGAGAGGCTCTCACAGCCTTACACACCATGGCCAGGGTTGTTGAACGGACAGCCAAGTAGGCCAGGCAAGCAGGCATGTCGTGGAATATGGTATACCGTATATAGTATACATGCAGTGCATGGTACACTGTTGTATGTCACTTTCTCAGTGTAGCTCTTGAGGTCACAGGGCAGTTAGATCGCGAGTTTTGTTCCGTGTTGCATGACATGCCGCAGCCTGCCGATCCTTATCGATCACTCCTGTTGTCGGCTTTGTATGAGGTGGACTTACGTAAGGAAGTCTTGAGGGCATGAAGGCCACACAAAAGAGACTTGTAGGCTGCAGCAGACCCAGAAAAATAAAAACAGCATTCAGGCATCGTGTGACCTTCGCCCGTAGAATCGGCTTGTCAGTCGGGTGCACCCGAAAGAAGGACGGTCCGGTCTCGGCAGCATGTAGGTGTCGAGGTGTTGTAAGCCCATGTGCCCAGGCCACATAATTAGCGAGACAGCTTCCGGCGCCCGCCGACACCCCATATAGGTACTATTCTGGTAGTGTTTTAGAAACTATAGTCAGAGTTAAACACAAGGCCCAGATCATGTAACCCTACATAACCAAATAAGGCCCAAACCCTGAACCCTGAACCCCTTAATCCTAAACATGTCCCACCTTTAAGGCCTGTGTAGGTGAACATGTTCCGTGCTTTTAACACAGGCAAGAGCTACCGAGGCCGGTCGCAAGAGCAGTTCCCGATATCATGGTCTCCCGATGGAAATCCCGGGCCCCCTTTTGGCACGTGCACAGGGTTTCTGTATATAGTCGTTCAGCACGTATAGGGAAGTTTGCTTAGACGTGTTCGGTGTGCACTTGTCCTTTATAACCCTTATAGACCCTGAACCTTCTAATCCCTGTAGATCGCACGTGTTGGGGAAGCCCGGCTCTTGATTCCCCGTGCCGTCTCACCTATCCTTCCGTGCAGGCAGTACAGGCAATGGTCGCAGTGATTATATATAGGTTCTATATAAGCAGGAGCCAGGGTCACCGTACATAGGCTTTTGGTGTGGTTGTATGTATTTCCGGTGTCGCGAATACATAGATAGGCTTTCATACCTAGACTTCGTTTGCAATGCTGCACCATTGCGGGGCCTGCTTTGCTGCCACCTTGCAGCGGCGACTGAGTTGTTCAGAAGCTACAGAATAAATTGTCGGCCGTGCGGTGCAATGGGTCCATTTAGGGTTCGGGTGGTATGTTATAATGGGTTTCGGGTGATATGTTCTGGTGGCTGTCGGAGTTTCTTGGAAGTGCTGCTGCAGTACAGGAGCGACAGTCGTGCTGTGCATGTCATGCAATCAGGAGTGACAGTGGTGCTGTGCAGTGCCTGTACATGTCCTTGTGGTGTTCTGAAGCAGTCATGCAGTGTTGTGCAGTGCACGAAATTTTCCGCCGACCCCCCCCCCCCCAAACAGCCTCAAACCAGCATCTACCAGATTTCAGTTTTTCGCAACCAAGCAAAACATAGGCAGGGGTGTCGAGAAATCCCATGGTGCAGTTGCAAAAAAACGAAACAGGCCACGTTCGGGCCAAAATTGGCCAAAAATCACGGAAAAAAATCGGCGAGAGTTTCCCCAGGGGGGTACCCCACCGTGGTGTGTTGAAGAAAGATGAGATTTGCAGCTTTATTAAAAAATAAAGTTGCAGGGTGCAGGTTTATTTTTTAATAAAGTTGCACCGTGCAACTTTATTAAAAAATAAACCTGCAAATTCTAGAATTAAAAAGAATCTTGAAAAATAAACCTGCAGTGTGCAACTTTATTAAAAAATAAACCTGCACCCTGCAACTTTATTTTTTAATAAAGTTGCTTTGGCCAGTGTGGCTGCTGATGGCCGAGCTGCCGCTAATATTTCTAAACTGTCCCGTGACCCTAGAGCAACCTTTGGGCGGCTCCGTGATAATCTTTTGTGGGTGGTGTGGGCACAGAAACCACTCTGGGAAAGCAGTGGGCGGCGGCTCGGAGGACGTGGCGGGCAGTCGTGTGGTGTGATGGATAGAGAAATAATAGATAGATTGTATCTATATTCTATGTATATATCCATGCACAACTATGGATATATATATATATATGTACATATATCCATGGTATATATGTATGTATATGTGTGCATGTAATGAGCTCGGTGCATGGGGTGGATCGGAGTGGGGTCGGGGCTTCCTGCATGGGGCGGCAGGTTGCACGGGGAAACAGAAGTACATGCTTTGGGGACATGGCAGGGGAGGGCTGGGGTGATCGCCGATCAATCTGAAAGCCGTGGCTAGAATAGCCCGAGGACTCATGCATGTGCAGTCTTGTGGTGCATGTGTTGCAGTCATGTCAAGCATGTCAGTTTACTTGTGCATGCTTCTGAAGAGCAGTGCGGTGCATGTGCTGCATGACGACCACAGCAGCAACAGCAGCAGCCGCAGCAGAAGGATCCAGAACAACAGCAGCAGCAACAGCAACAACCGCAGCAGGGATGGAGTGCATGGTCTCCAGTGCAAAGGATGAATGGTGGTGTTCGGCTCAGCAGCAGAACAACACATGCATGAGCATCATGCAGCACCGCATGCGAGAGAGCAGAGCACAGTGACTTCATAGGCGATGTACCCTCACGAAAGGAGGTCCCTGGCCATGTTGCTTCGCACTCTTTCAGTGCGGTGGATGCAAGATCACTTCGGAGCGGACCCAGAGACTGCAGACTTCGACTCCGAGGATGAGAGCCATGCCATGGAGTCTTCAAAGAGCATCATCAAGGAGGTCGTCGAGTCGATCAGCAAAGCCGAGCTGGAGGAGCTGGAGGAAGCGAGCGGTTCGAAGAAAGATGACGACAAGAAGAAGGACGATGACCGCAAGAAAGATGCTCACAAGAAGACGGGCAATGACAAGAAGAAAGATGACAAGAAGAATGCCCCTGTGAAGAAAAAACGTAAGGCGACCTGAGGCAATGACAAGAAGAACGATGACAAGAAGAATGCCCCTGTGAAGAAAAAACGTAAGGCGACCTGAGGCTGTTCTTGAAGGAAAAGAAACCAAGTGAGCCGCATGCAGGGGTTTCGTGCTGTGCATCATAAACCCTATATATGCCCTATTAAGAACCTTATATACCCTATTATAACCTATGTAAACCCTCCTGATGCTGTTGCTGTTGCTGATGCTGTTGGTGTGGCCGGGGC